CAGCACAGCCTGGTCCGGCTGTCCCCAGTCTCTGTCCCGTGCCCAGCCAGGTCCAGCTGTCCCCATCCCCTGTCCCCGTCCTCTCTACCCAGCCTGGGCTACCCTGGCTCTTCCCTGTCCCCATCTCCTCTTCTTTCTCCAGCCTCATCCAGCCATCCCCTGTCCCCAGCCCAACCTGGTTCAGCCATCCCCAGCCCCTGTCCCCAGCCTGGGCTGTCACAGTTGTCCCATGTCCCCAGCACAGCCCAGTCCAGCTGTCCCCATCCCCTGTCCCCGTCCTCTCTACCCAGCCTGGGCTACCCTGGCTCTTCCCTGTCCCCATCTCCTCTTCTTTCTCCAGCCTCATCCAGCCATCCCCTGTCCCCAGTCTGGGCTATCCCAAATATCCCCTGTCCCCACGTCAGCCTGGTCCAGCTGTCCCCATCCCCTGTCCCCATACTGGGCTATTCCAAATGTCCCCTGTCCCCATTTCAGCCTGGTCTAGCTGTCCCCATCTCCTGTCTCCAGCCCGGGCTATCCTGGCTGCCCCCTGTCTGCATCTCAGCCTGGCCCAGCTGTCCTCATCTCCTGTACCCATCCCCTGTCCCCATCCCAGCCTGGTTCAGCTGTCCCCATACCCAGATTGGGCTATCCCAACTTGTCCCTTGTCCCCAGCACAGCCTGCTCCAGCTGTCCTCATCCCCTTATCCCCATCCCAGCCTGGTCCACCTCTCCCCATCTCCTGTCTGCTTCTCAGCCTGGTCCAGCTGTCCCCATCCCCTGTCCCCTGCTCAGCCTTATCCAGCCATCCCCTGTCCCTATCCCCTGTCCCCTGCCCGTGTCTGCCCTCTCCCATTATGAGTGTCTGCCAGTGGCCCACCATCTCCCTCAGCCTGCGCCTACAGGCAGAAGGGGAAGGACATTCTGGTGGCCCCATAGGACCATATCCAGTGAGGAAACTTTAATTTCACGCATCAGCCTTGAGAGTCCTTATTTCTCATACTTTGGCTGGAATTGTACAAAACATTTTGCAGGAGAAATAGTCCCGAAGCTGAGCTGCAAAGGTTACTTGTGGTAGTGATGGAAACCATTGATGTTTTCAGCTTCCTGCAAGAACGGGCAAGTTTTATTCCTAATTTAAAGTCTTTGTTGTGCATTAGATGTGCCGGTAAGGCTTCAGCAGCAGCAGAGCAAAATAGCTGCTCCAGTCGGGGTAATTTTGAGACATCATCTGGGCACAGGAATTTGCACCTTCTAATTAAGCAAAAAAAGGGGGTAAGTGGCTCTGCAAGTTGCAGTCTGTAACACGTTTCATGGGCAGCTCTGAGGGCGGTTCACATTCTCCCCCATCACTCGATTCCTCCCAGAAACTAGGGGGAAATTGAGAGCAGAAGGCAGTTTTCTTGGGTTCAGTCCCAGTCCCTATCCCCTAAAAGGATTTTCTTTGACCTGAACTGTACTTTGGAGCATGTGTCCCATCCTGAAAGTCAGATGGCCCTGTGTTACCAGTATAAATCAGGAGTATCCACAAAGTGCAATTGAGAGCACAGAGAAGCATGTAATTTACATGGACATTATCCTTAAGAAGTTTGTCTTCTGAATAATTTCATTCTTCCCTAAGGGAATAAAACCTATAACTTTAAACAAAGCCGTAACAGAACATCAAGTCTGCAAAGGAGATAAAAATCCAGGCTAAAATTATTTTTTAAACAATTTGGGGAAAAAAAGCCGAGCCAAGTAGCTGCACCAGCACAACGCTATTTCCTTCTAAACACTCCCATGATGGGAACTTTAGAAAAGCAGCCGATCATCAACCTCAAATCGTTTAAAACAGAAGCTGTCCCTTGGGACATCTCGCTTCCCATCGCAGTTAGGGAGCTCAGCCTGTCCCAGCTCTGATCAAACAACGTCCCCAGAGCAAGCCTGCAATTCGCCTGCTCGGAAAGGTAGAGTTAGTAAATTATTTACCGC